GATATGGTTTCGCTGTAACTTTTAACCTCATTCCAGATATGATGAAAACATCTTACACTTCACCCCTTGATTCACTTTTTGGAAACAGCAATTACTGTCGAGTCATCGACTCACGGACTAGTCGTAAATTGTAGTGCACGCACCGCGCGGCCAAACGCATAGCTTATACAAGGCTTATCAAATGCAGTGTCGTGAACATCAGCATCTGCTCCCGCGCGACGGCTTCGTCTGACCCTGTACCTCTTTCGCGAACATGTTCCCTAATTAATTCTCCACCGCAGGCGTGGGAAAGGCGGAGCCTCAATCGAATGGATATGATTAAAGAGCAGTTGGTGAAAGAGGTACAAATTCCCGCGCGGGAATCGCTGATGCACCCGACACTGTAATTGGTAAGCCATGTGACAGTGAAGATTGCTATTGTACAAGCCGTACTTTCGCAACATTTCAATCGCACTGCGCATGCTACGCAATCTACGGCAAGTCCATGCGTCTGGACTCCACCATATGACTTGGTCGAATATCCTCGGTCTACATTCAATTTCGAAATGTTACTACACTGTTTGAGATCATTTTATACGTCTGCGATATGGTGACATCTTTGCGACACCTTTTCTACTTGCTAAGTATTAGTAAAGCGATATGGTCTTCTCTTCGTCTCTACTCCTACGCAAATATGTCTACTGAGGGAAAGTGAGCATTACATCAACTGTGAAAGTCTCGCGCAACACCCCTATTTCATTCTTATATGAAATTAATAAGTTCTAGCGCGAACTATCATGTAAGTGCCGCAGCGAGCAAACCAGGTAAAGCGGTGATTTCTAGTCCGACCGACTGGTTGACAAGAAGATACCCGGAGAGCATACGCGGCTCGATTTGTGAAAGTTAATCATGGTTAGTAATTTGTGGTGCGCTTCATGCTTGCGAAAGTAGGGAGTCTAATCAGTAACCAACCTTCAACATCCAGTATGCAATATGCTCCATCACGCTTATAGCCATCTTCACAGTCGCATCTGTATGAACCCGGAAGGTTCACACATGTTTCATGACCACTTGAACATGTCGTTTCCAGAGCACATTCATCGATATCTAGAAAGAAAACAACTGGCAAAGCTCCAAAAGGGTTGGAGCAAAGTAGTCTCACCTGTACAACCGTCATCAGTATCATTATATCCACTTTTGCATTTCGTACAGCCTTTCGGCCCTGCCTTGGTACATCCGCCTGCGCAGCCGTCGAAACACTCTCAAAATCAAACATCAAAGATGAAT